CTTCACCCCTCCTCCCCTCCCCATCTACAAACACTTTATTTTCATCTTTTCATTATCTCACATTTTTTTCTTTTCCCTTTTTACCCTTCCCCTACCCATCCCACCTTCCCTACACCTTTAGCTCCTTTCTTCCCATTTCTCAATGTCAGTAATCTTACTAGGTTCTTTTTTTTTTGTCTTGTTTTGTCTTTGTTTTTTGAGTCAGGGTGAGACAGGGTAAATTGCTAAATTGCTCAGGAACTTTCAGTCTTCATGTCTCAGCCTCCCAGAGTTCAGGGATTATAGGTGTACACCAGTATTCTTGGCACAGCGATTCTATTTTAAGTCAGATATGGTTTTTAAACTTTACATGAGTAGGGGGTCAGGGAAATAGCTTAGTGGCAGAGCACTTGCCTAGCATGTGTGACACTTGGGGTTTGATCCCCTGCACCACCAAAACTTTTTACGTGATTGGAGCTGGGCCTGCTTCACACACTATTTTGTCAATGGCAGTCCTTGCAGTTTGGACAATTTTGGGAGAAGCTTCTAGAAGGAGAGGGATGCAGGAACCTTGAGGGAAATGGGTAAGAGAAGATAACGTGAAATTACAGTTGGTCAAGATGAGAGGGGTGGAAGGAAGAGACTGAAAAAAGAAGGCAGTGTGGCCAAGCAGTTGCAGGTATGGATGAGAAACAGCACCGGGCTCCATGGTGGGACAGGGAGAAAATGACACGTTCCATGAAGAGGGCATCAGTGATCCCACAGAGAGAAGCAGGCTAGAGACCGAGGGAGTCGTGGAAAAATGAGGCTAAGGTGGGCCTCAGGCTCTCAGGAAGGTTCCCATAGCCAGAGATACTGCTGTGTGGGTTTGTGAGTGGAGGACTTAGAAGCGAAATGGGGAAGACAGACAGGAAGCAGGGGGGTGGGAGTAGAGCCTGTTGCTATGGTGTGAGCTGGGCCCTGGGCCTCCACCCAGGAGTCAGGATCTGGCCCAGTGCAGGGACAGGCACTGCCAAGTGAACACAGCCAGCTTCTTGGGTGGGTTTTACCGTCGCTGGGAGAGGGAGGATGGGGGTGGGGGAGTGAGGAAGTGGTAAACAAACTGGAAAGGACATAGGAAGACACTACAACTTTCCACCATGACCAAAGCCCTGGGCATTTTCCTACCCGCCTGGTCTCTGGGCCCTGCCTGCCGTGAGAGTCAGGGAAGAAGGCTGATTGCAGGAATCAAAGTTTCAGACATGGGAACAAGGGTAGGGATGGTTTGGGAATTAAATTCCCTAAACGAGGCTGATGATACCTATTGGGTCTCCTTTATACCTGCGGGAACAGAGCAGATAGACCCTTCGTCTGGTTATGTTGGTGGTGTAGGAACAGCTGATGGATGTATGGTCAGGGTCCAGGGTGCAGGTCGTGACAGAAAAAAAGTCCCGAGTGAGTGTGCAATATTCGTTGTAGACATCACAGAAGTAGTCAGTATAGCTGCAGAACTTCTGGATGTCTTTCCAGGGGGCATGTAGCACATAATGGATCTCAGGGCAATACCAGTTTTGCCTTCTGCCCCTCACATAGGCCATAAAGCCATTGCAGTAGCCCTGGAAACCCTCCGCGTAGGTAACCTTGGGATAGTCGACGTGTAAGGTGCGGAAGTTTTGGACTTCGGGATGCAGCTTGATGTTCTCAACTGGCGTTGGCCCTAGAACAAGCTGAAGGAAAAGGAGCTGGGCCACAGCTGGTGCCATTCCTCCTGCTGGCAGAGACAAGGTGGTTGGAGTCAGGGAGGGCCTAGGGTGGCTGTATGCCCCTCCCAGAGCCTCCAGCACTGCTCAACCTTCCCCATGTGCCTTCCTTACCCTCTAAGAGCTGGCTGGTCAGAGCTCAGCCCTCAACCCCTTTCGCCCCAGAAAGAGAATGTACTTGCCCAAAGCCACCCACAGCCAGCCCCATCCCCTGGTCCACTGGAGTCTCAATCTCACCCAATTTGTGAGCTGCTGCGCGTGCAGATTAAGAAATCCAGCTGGTCCTTGGGTGAGAGACACTTCCCAGTTATCTACCCCACACCCTTTCTAGTAAAAAAAAAAAATTGCAGAAAGGCTAGAAGAAACAGGCTAGCTGATGATTCTCACACAGCTCTGGAAGCTCTGGAAGGCCCGGGGCTGAAGACAGCTGGGTGGGGACAGGGATGCGTCTTGCTTGAAGAGAAGGACAGCCTAGCGTTGAGCTGCACTAAAGGTTTCTTGGTGAAGACCAGTCCAGGAGGAAGAAGTGTCCCCGAGTTTGCACAGCCCCTGTGCTGAGGGGGTTGGATGGGTGGGAGGAAAGAGATATTGTCTGGTCTCCTCCTCTTTGGTGTCTTTAGAACACTTAGTTCCAACTGTCTTGCCAGAAATCCCTTGGTCCCTGGGCTTCCTTTGATGTTTGCTCTGGTGCATCAGCCCTGCTCCCACAGCAAGGTTGGAAGAAAAGTGCTGTCCTGTTCCTGAGGAGCTAAGTGTTTCTTATTATTCCTGACCCTCAGAGAACAGAGGCTCCACCACTCAGGAGCTCAGGAAGCTATGCATGCGTGGGGGCCTCCCACCTAACTGCCAGGCTGAGGCCGGGCGGGTGGTGCACACCTGTAATACCAGCACTCAGGAGCCAGAGCCAGGGAGATTGCTGGGGGTTCGAGGACAGCGTGGGCTACATAATGAGTTCAAAGCCTTCCTGAGCTACATAGCAAGACCTGGTCTAGAAAACACTGCTTTGAAAAAGTGCCAGGCTGAGAATCAAGGTTCTTCAAGGTCCCTGTTACCAATCCTGCTCTTGTCACGTCAACACGTCTCACCTGTAACACGGGCCCCTTCAGTCCTATGCATACTTAACTCTGAACCCTCTAACTTAGGAGTTAGGTCCACCGCATAACCTAGACGTGAGGGGACATGACCTAAAGCCCAAGCCCCGCCTGATCAGACTCCCACGGTTAGCTGGTCTTCGGGTAATAGTCACACTGGGGAGAGAGCCAGGCTCCTGGTTCTCTTGCCTCAACTAGCAACTATGCTGGTGCCCGGAGCTGCCAGCCCTAGTCCTTGACCTCCACAAGCCTCGCAGCCCTGTCGCTTGGAGGTGCTGTCCACATTTGGGGCTGCTTCTTGGGAGAACCTTTTCAACCTCCACAAGCCGGTCAGGGATTCCAAAGGCAGAAGGAACAGTGGGTGCCCCAAGGGGCTGCAGGGAAACACACTGAAGTTCCCTTTTATGGCCCCTCATCCACAGCACCCGTAGACTGGCTTTTTCTGACAAACACAAGCTAGAGTCTGAGCACGAGTCCATCCTCCCCACAACTTCTTGTGTAGTGGTAGTTTCTTCACTGTTACCGTCTAGATCCGGAATACCCGCCCCCCAAACTCTCACATGTTCAGAGATGGGGTATTTGAAAGGTGCCTGGGTCATGAGATCACGGTACTCATCGGCGGAGCAGTGTACAGCTGAGTCGATGGGACTGTGCTGTGAGGAGGTGAGGCCCGCTTGGAGTGCGTCGCGGCGGGTGGCTTATGACTCACAAGGTTCTATCCCCGTTTGCGTCCAAGGCTCCTTCCTCTCTTTTCTCCCTACTTCCGGCTGCCCCGGGCTGCTGCTTTTCTCTACCATGACCCCCACCATGCTGTTTCTGCTTTGGAGTCAGCTGACCAGGGTCTGAATCCTCCCAAAACACCAGCAAATTAAACCTCTCCTCCTCTAAGTTGCGGGTGTTGGGTGGCTAGCGTGTCCCGGTGATGAGAAGGCAGACAGATCCACTCACTTTCAGGTGTTAGGAACAGAGAGTGGTCCTAAGCTCTTCCATCCCCGACCCCCATACCAAGCGTCAAGACGGCATGGTGGGTAAGGTCCAGGCTTTCAAGTAAAACAGACCAGAAACAGCCCTGGTTCTGCAGCTCCCATGCTGCGGGCCATTAGTCTGACTGAGTTCACTAAACCACCACACACGTGAGCTTCTTTGTTCTCTCGGGAGAAGTGTTTTATGCATCGCGGCAGGACCCGCCTTCATTAAGGTGTGTGCAAGAGCTCCGACCAGTGCCTGGTCTGCGGCGAGCACTCAGTATGAGCATGAACCCATTGGCCGTGAAGGCCTGACACCCCTTCTCGCTCCTGTTTCTTTCGCTCAGGCTCTCCTCTCTCCTGGACACCACGCACTTTCCAGCTCTCGGTATGCTCAATGCAAGTATGTCTCTCACGGAATTGCCAGACGTGGTCTCCTCCTTGGCCTCACACTTGGCAGCAGCCCCCGGCCCACTTCCATGCCCTTGCCCAACTGTCCCCTCTACCAGGAATGCTGCCGCCACCACCCGCCCACCCCTCCCTCTTGCCCGTCAGTCCCACAGGTCCCATTTCAGAGTCAGTGCTTGGAATGACCCCCCCGCCAGAACTGTGCACACCCAACCAAGGGAAGACGAAACTCAGGTGGCTCATCTGTTATTCAGGCTGCTCAACGACACACCGCTGGGAGCCTTGCAGGCCCCTGCTGGACCAGGCTGACCCAGGCCTTTGGAGGAAGCCAACCACAAAGGCTGGGGCCTCAGCCTTGTGCCACCTTGACCCTCAAGCCTGCTGCTTCCCTGAGAAGAGAAAGAGGCTTTCTGGGCCTCGTAGTCTTCCTCTTCCTCCATTCCCAGCCCACGCGTCATCACCCTACAGCTACCAGCCCTCACCTCTGCCTGTGGGATTACAGAAACCAAAGGACACAGAATAGAAGAGAGTGTTCAGGACGTAAAGCTGAGTGACCTGCTGGGCTCCTGCTTCCTCTTCTGTCAGATGGCATAGTACCTTCCTTACCTCCTAAGACTGCAAGAATAAAATCAGACGGAAAATGTGAAAGTGCTTTTTAATCACTAAATAATGTATAAGTGGAGACGGGCGTGGTGGCGCACGCCTGTAATCCCAGCACTTGGGAGGCTGAGGCAGGAGGATGCTGTGAGTTTGAGACCGGCCTGGGCTACATAGTGAGCTCCAGTTCAGTCTCAGCTACATAGTGAGACCCTGTCTCAAAAACAAAAACAAAACAAAACAGCCAGATATCTGAAAGACACTTAGAAAAATGCTGTGGATTATATCTATAATTCTGTAGGACAGTCATACGTAAACATATGTGCTACAAAGTCACCAGCATAGGTCCAGGAGCAGTGCTAAGTGGGAGCAGAGCAAGACCTTTGGGTCCCCAACTACAGTCCTGGATGCCTGGCCTCTCAAATCTGTCCTTGAAGTGCGGCTACATAGAATTGCTGCATCCACTCTGACGTCCCGCTCGTGGTTTGATATGCTCCGTAAGCCCAGGATTCGTGGACTTGCTCTTCCTTACCCTGAAGAAGCACTGTACAGACACAGAAGCCAAGTTCCAGAGGGATGGTGGTTTGGTCCAGGTTGTAGGTTTGCTCAGTGGTTCTTTTTTTTTGGGGGGGGGTTTGAGACAGGGTCTCACTATGTAGTTGAGACTGACCTGGAACTCACTACGTAGTCCAGACTGGTCTCGAACTCATAGCGATCCTCCTGCCTCAGCCTCCCAAGTTCTGGGATCACAGGCATGCGCCACCATGCCCAGCTCTTCAGTGGTTCTTGACAGGACAATTTCATAATGTCTGGAGAATGTCAGGGTGCCATAACTGGAAGTTGCTACTGGCACAAAGTCAGGGATGTTGCTAAAAATCTGCATTGCACAAGACAGTTGCCCCTACAAAGAACTGTCCGGAGTAAGAGGCAAATAATTCTGAGACTGAGAAGCCCTGGTCTGATTAATGAGATAGTCAAATTTCCTTACAAGAGCAGACTGACTTGTATGTCATGTTTGTGTTCTGTTGCGGCCCTGGGAATGCATGTGCAGGGTCTCCACGTGCTGAGCAAGCTCTCTACCCCAACCCATATCCCCATCCCGTTTATTTGTTTTGATTTTGAGGCAGGGCCTTGGTAAATTCCCCAAACTGTCCTCAAACTTCTCATTCTGCTGCCCTGGCTTCCCATTAGCTGGTCTTACAGGCGTGAACAACCATGCTGCCTTACTTTATGTATTTGAAAGACTTGGAAAACATATGAAACCTGGAGGGCAAAAGAAATGGAAATGTTTTTCGGTTTTTTTTTTTTTTTTTTTTTTTTTTTTTTTTTTTTTTTTTTTTTTTTTTTTTTTTTGATTTTTCGAGACAGGATCTCACTATGTAGTTGAGACTGACCAGGAACTCACTATGTAGCTCAGGCTGGTCTCGAACTCACAGCATCCTCCTGCCTCAGCCTCCCGAGTGCTGGGATTACAGGAGTGCACCACCACGCCCGGCCTTTTTAAATTTTTATTTATTTATTTTTGGTACTGGGGATCAACCTCAGGACCTTGCACTTGCCAGGCAGGCATGGTGCCACTGAGCTAAATCCTCGGCCCTTTGTTTTTAAATTTAATTTAAATTTATTTTACCCCATTCCCCTCTCCTCTCAAGCCCCCTGCCCACCCTATGCACAAAAGTTTTGTGGAAATGTTTTTTGTTAAACAGATGTTTATTGTAATGGTGCTGGTTCTTTTACTGCCAAAAGGAGTACCAATAGTTCAACATTGAAATGATAACTTTATTTTTCTTATAAAGAGGACCCTCTGAGCTGGGCATAGTGATGCAAACCTGTATTCTGAGTACTCTAGGAGGCTGAGGCAGGACAATCACAAATTCAAGCAGTCTTAGCAATTTAGCAACTTACTGAGACCCTGTCTCAAAATAAAAAATAAAAGGATTGGGGCTCATTGAGAAGGCCCTGAATTCAACCTCCAGTAGCTCCCCCACAAAAAAGAAGACCCTTAAAACTGAAAAAAAAATTTGAAAAAAAAAGAAGACCCATGGCCTGTAAACCTCAATACATTTTATCCGTCCTTCTCCAGCAGCAAGCATTTGTAGAATAATGGCTGACAAGAAGTGCGGTGGTGAGTGCCAGTAATGCAGGGAATGCCAAGCTTCTGCCCAGAGTAGGCTCCTTATGATTTCACTGACATTTCTTTTCTTTTCTTTTGGTACCAGGGATTGAACTCAGGTCCTTGCACTTGTGAGGCAGGTGCCAGAACCACTGAGCTAAATCCCCAGCCCTCATTGACATTTCTTTTTGCTCTGTCCAACTCACGTTGCTCAAACAGTACACCTGGTCACAGGCGGTTCCTGGGTTGTCCTTAAACCCAAGGGATGGATGGCTTCAGCCATCAAAGCATTCTTGTTCAGTTCCACTCCTGTGTGAGGTGCAAAAGGACTGTGACAGGCTTCTGGCACTCTAGGAGTTGACAGTCTAAGCTGGAGGAAAATAAATATATGTGAAAAAATAATCAATGGTTTAAAGCAGAAAATAATACTTCTGGAAGACAGCTAATGCTGTAGAGAGATAGAGGCAAGAAAGATCTCTCTGATTTGAGAGGGTCAGGGAAAATTTCCCAGGGGAGGAGAGTGGTCATCCTGGGGCCTCAGGATGAGTCTCTTGGGGCACATAGGACTTACATGGAGATAAATAAGATTACAGAAGTATGATTGAGAGGAGAGAGGAAACCGGCCTGGCAGTTTTTGAGGTACTAAACAGGATAAGAGTCAGAGGCAAAGGCAGAAAGATGGTTTTGTGAGATGGTGGCAGGCCCAAGGCTCAAGCTGAGAAACTTACACTCTAGTCTGTCCATAGAGGGTGGGGAAAGCCAGCTTCCGAGACAGGGTGACCCAGTGAAGCCTCTCGTCCTGCGCCAGGTCCTTCTCTCCTGCATCCCTGCTTGGGAGCCAAGGGTTCCAACTTTCTGTTTCGGAGTTTGCCTCCTCCAAACCCGCAGCTGTTCCAGGAAAGGTCATGGGAATTCAAAGACCCAAATCAAGTCCCCTGTCTGACCCAAACTTGCTTGTGTGTTTCACTTTTCCCAAATACAGAAATGAGCCCATTACTCTTGTTTATCTAAGGATCAACAAAATTAGGATAAAAGAACTTGGATCTGCTCCTGCTTAGAGAAAAATAACACTCTCCTGGGTTTTCCACTGGTATCCAGAGGCTGTGTGGAACTCCGGAAGAGAGAGCTTTGGCTCTAAAGGGCAGGCACCATGCCAGGCTGGGCCCCCTCCCGCCTCTCCCATCCCAGGCAAGAGGAAGCAGCAGCTGTTGTCCTGCAGGGAGCACAGGCAGAGGTCCACCTGGCACTGCTGGGATTTTCACAACAGCCCAACTTAAAACACACACACACACACACACACACACACACACACACACACACAGTCTCGGGGAGGCTGGGCCAACAGCCATGACTGTGGCAGTAGAGAGAGGAAGGAAGCCTGGTAGAGGTTGTTCTCGTGAAAGGCTGCCTTCCCTCATCTTCCCTCACCATTTTGCCTCCTGCTTTCCTTTTCAAAGTTTCTCTCCTCCTGCAAGGCTCCCTGACGAGTCCTTGGTCTAAGGTCTCACTCCTTACGTTCTCCCTAACCCTGTCCCCTTCCCTTATCCTTTCCTTTATCCCACAAATGGAATGAAGGAAAATAGGAGTAAAACTACCCTACCAAGTGCAAAGAGAAGCAGATCTTGTGGATAGTTTAGCCAAATAAACATGCACAATTACTTTCCTTACCGAAATAGTTGTGGCCAAAGGTTTCAGCCTGAATTGGGCAAATGGTAGCTTCAACTCTTCCACTTCAATTTTCATATGTAAACTTCAACTTTCTCTCCCTTTCCTGCTGCCCTGAGACAGCGGGGCCTTGTTTATTTCATCTGCACACAGCACTAAGCAGCCTTCTGGAGAGTCCAGCATAATGGAGTTGCAGAGCAAACCAGGATAATTATAATGACAAGAAAACACAAGCACAGGGGCAGTTCAGATAGTGGTTTGGAAACATCTCTCTCCAGGAGAATGGGAAATGGAAAAGAGACTGGGCTAGGAATTCAAATGAGCCCAAAGCCTCCTAACCCTCTTCCTGCCCAGCCCAGAACTCATCTGGTCTGCCTTGATCTGCATTTGATATGCTTTAAAATAAGGATTTTATCCCCAATCCTGAGGACTTCTACAGCGGCAAGATAGTGCTACCGTCTAGATGTGCTTTTAAGGGTGAGCACCATAACAAAGAAATAAAGGGCTGTCCCACAGTTGGGGCCTCCCTGAGGGACAGCCCACAGAGCCTAAGGCCTGCGTCACCTTCTTCTTAATTCTCTCTTGCCATCTAGTGGTGTTTTCGGTCCACAACACCACCTTTCCATCATGCCTCCTCACACAAACCTGCTCGCTCTCCACTAAAATCGTCTCGCTCTGGCCTCACAACAGACGCCTCATTGACTTCCTCACTCAAAGTCCCTAACTTTGACAATCAGAACACAAACCTTGTGATCAAGATGATTTACATGACCTCTTCACAGTTTTAATCCACACGACATACAAGAGACAGACAGGCCTTGTACTCTTCTGCTCCTAGTAAAAGTCACAATCTCAGTTTCTCTCATAGGGATTGAACCCAGTGCCTTTAAACTAAGCTACATCTCCAGCCCACCCTCTCCCTTTATTTGTTTATTTGTTCTGTTTTGTTTTGGTACTAGGGATCGAACTCGGGTCCTCCCGCTTGCAAGGCAGGCGGTGGAACCACTGAGCTAAATCCCCAGCCCGCTCCCCTCCCCCGCCTTTATTTTTGAGACAAGGTCTTGCTAAATCACTAAGTCAACCAAGCTGGGCTCAAACTTGGAATCCTTCCGCCCTGGCCTCCGAGAATGCTGGAATTCCATGGGGGCACTCTGCGCCAGGCCATCACAGCCCTTCTAAAAGTCCTAAGAGTCCCAGTGGTCCAATTTCTGACCCCTCTCTGAATCCCTCCTCACTTACTGGTCACCCTCCTGTTCCACCTGCTTTGGGGCTTTACAGTGCTGCTCTCTCCACCTGGAACACCCTTCCTGAGACAAGCACAAGTTCACCCACTCATCTTCAAGTCTCCATCTCTGACCTCCTTGATGACTTTTTTGTTGTTGTTCTTGATTTTGTTTGTTTGTTTGTTTTTGGTACTGGGGATTGAACTCAGGCCCTTGTGCTTTCGAGGCAGGCAGCAGAACCACTGAGCCAAATCCCGGGCCCAAACTTTTTTTTTTTTTTTTAAAGACAGGGTCTTGCCATGTATTTCAGACTGGCCTTGAACTCACTGTGTAGTCCAGGCTGGCCCCAAATTCTTGGTAATTCGCTTGCCTCAGCCTCCTGAGTGCTGGGATTACAGGCATGCACCACCACCCCAGGTAGCCTTACTTAAATTAAAAATGACTGCCCACCAATCCCTATCCTGTCTACTTTTTTCTTTAGCAGTTATCACTTTAAGCAAAATATATCTGTATTTACTGTCTTTCTCCAATGGAATGTAAGATCCACAGAGGTAGAGATTTGTGTCTCTGGTTCACTGATGTATCCCAAGTATACTGGCTTATAGGAGGTGCTCATTTAATATTTGTTGCCTACATGACAGTTGAACCTGAGATTCTGAGTTCACCTACTACTTATAGGTGGATTTTGAATACAAAAATAACATCTTTGTTTCCCAGCCTTCCCAACCACACAGTGATGCTTCTCTGCCTGAGCTTCTCAGTTCACCCACATATCGTATTCCAAACTCTCAGGAGCCCCCAGAGCAGCACTGACCAGGCTGTAACCACCATGAGGAACAGGTGAAAGAAAGTTTGGGCAGGATGTTAAAGCGACATCACCAAAGGCACTTCAAATGTAAACATTTAGATAATGGTCCAGTTTTGCAACTTCCATAAAGTAGGGAGGGGGAGAGTGAGAATGAGAGTCCTGGGTGCCTTCCCCAGGTAACGCCAGGTGACCCTGCTCAGCACCTGGAACCAGAGGAACCCAGAGAAATGAATCACCCTGGATGGCTGAGCTGTTGGGGATGGTGACGGGCATGGTGACTATGACGATTCATCCGCTTCCCTCGTCTCCTCCAACAGATAAGCAGTGTGCCTGTCGAATGACAAGAAACTACAAAATCCTTCTTCTACACTACTCCACCCTACTTCTAGTTAGAAAAACTTAATCCTTGACACCACAGTGATTGGTGGTTCTTAAATATCAGAGACACATGGGGGGGGCTCTCCCTGAAATTCATCTGTGTTGACACCTGGGTCAGGTATTTTTACTGAGTCATTAAAATCACGTGGACAGAGCCCACGCACAATACAGTCTGAATGTGGGATCGCAGCTTCCTCATTGCCTAATGTGTTAGGCAGGCTGACTGGGTCCATAGGCTTCCACTTACTTGGGACAGGTAAGTGGAGAGGCGTGAACCTGATTCATCTCCTGATAGGAACAGCATAGTTCTTAAGGAGTCAGGCAGCAAGCAGAGGCCCTTAAAGATCTGACAGCCCAGCAAGGGTGGCTACATCCTCAGTCCCTGGAACAGGAGTCACAGTTTGAAGGCTGAACAAGAAGGTGAGGCCTGCAACAAGATACGGTGAGGAGAAAGAATAAAGGAGGAAGGATGGGTTCTGAGCATCTTCACACTCTGCAGAGTAGTAAGATATATGAGAGACCTCTGTGGTAGGTTCTGATCTCCTGCTCAATGTTATGGCTCAAGGCTGAGAAAAAAAATGGATAGGAAACAGGGAGCTGGGAGAGCCAATGTTGCTTAATCAGCAAAGACACTGGCCAGTCCAAGCCACTTTTTTTGGGGGGGGTACTCAAACTCAGGACCTTGCACTAGTGAGGCAGGTGAGAAGGCCACTCATTTTTATTAGTAATCAATTGGGGTAAAGGCAAGCTACGTGCAAGGACATGCAGTCATGCAGACTTTATAGAAATGGATGCAGGCAAGGCTTGTAAAGGAAAAAAGACAAAGCACTCTCAAATTAGGAACAGAGTAGACAAAATATAGGGTTGTAGTTAAAATCTTGTCCTTCTAGTTAAGAAGGTTTTAATTGTGGGAACGGAATTTGGGTACAAGTTATTCTGACCTTGGCACGTAGGCTTTGGCTCGACTCGCTTCTCACAACAAGCCAGTTGATGGGTTAACGCTTTACAGTCTTCTCTGCTTACAGCCTATTTTGGGGCATAATCAATATTGGGGTCCCCCACAAAGATAGAAAAAGCAGGCACTCAATTTAGAGGGGATAGTACACGAGAGAGAGGAAGAGCACTCAAGAGACGACAGAGATATAAAATGAGAAAGCAGCTGGGTCGGGGGAAACGGGGATAGGAGGGTGGAAGGGTTGAGACACGACTATAGAAACACGGGGACCACAAGAAGATGGCAGCTGAAGGAGAGGAGATAAAACGAGTGAGAGGCAATAGGGACAGGATGACAGGACATAGGGATATCAGGTCACAGTAGATGAGGGCACGCAGCGGGAGGAGGAGAGATACTGAGTGAGGAAAGGAGACACAGACACAGGGTAGGGAGAGGGGCGAGCAGCTGTACGGAGGCAGCTTCTCAACTGAACACCTGTGCTCTGTGTCCCTAGCAACCCCGTCCTGTCCTGCCTCCCTGACCACTGTCCCTAAAAGAGATGACATCGGCCAGACCAAGATGCTTCTGCCTGCCGCTGCTCCTGCTGCTAGGGCTGTGGGTGGCAGAGATCCCAGTCAGCGCCAAACCCAGAAACATGACCTCAGCCCAGTGGTTTGCAACTCAGCACGTGCAACCCAAGCCTCAAAACTGCAACCCAGCGATGGGCCGAATCAACAAGTACACAAAGCACTGCAAACCTCTCAACTCCTTCCTGCATGCATCCTTCTCCAGTGTGGCTGCCACCTGCCAGACCCCCGGCATACCCTGCAAGAACGGCCATAAAAACTGCCATCAGAGCTCACACACCGTGTCCCTGACCATGTGTAAGCATACCTCAGGGAGGTACCCCAACTGCAGGTACAAAGAGAATCATCAAAATGCATCTTACATAGTGGCCTGTGACCCTCCCCAGAAGAAGGACTCTGGGAAATTCCACCTGGTTCCTGTGCACCTGGACCGCATCATTTAGGTTTCCAGGCTCCTTACTCCTTGCTTGAGCTTCGTTCCTCCTCCTGGTCTCCTCCTCCACCCAGAGCATATTCTTCCCCTCACGTCTTGTACCCTTCATTGTTTGGCTCTTTGGAAAGGCCAAGGCAGAACTTACGCTGACATGGTGGGCTGAGCTCTAGAGAAAGGCACTGTCTTTCATCTTTTCTTCCCCCCACCCCCGGTACTGGTGACCGAACTCGGTACCTCAGGACCTTGTGCTTGCTAAGCAGGCTTGGCGCCACTGAGCTAGATCCCAGGGCCCATGTCTTTCATCTTTTTGTTGCTTCTTCCACCCCCGCTCCCAAGTTTATCCCCCGCAAGACGGGCAGAGCAAGCTCAGAGCCTAGGCTTCCCCGGACTGTGCTTTTGAACTCTTACCTGCCACATCGCGTCGTATGAACGCAGCAAGACAAAGGGAAGAAACAGATGGAGAAGGCGCAAGTAGAATGTATAGACGGCACTGATTCCACTCCTAAACTGGAAGTCTTCCCAGCCTTGATGTGGGACAGTGAACTGTGTGGGGAGAGGTGGCCGGAAGGAAGAAAAGCAAACCAACAAATGCAGCATCACATGTACAGAGCACTTCATGTTTTTCACAACATGGCCACGTGAGTCCTCTAATCCCCGATGGCAGAGGTGACTTAATCTTCTTCATGGACGGGGAGTTTGGGATTTCAGAAAGCTTAGTCAGCTAAACAGCCCAGGAGCCGAATCTGGACTTGAAAATAAGTGGCCTTCGTCTAAATACAGCACAACTCTCCCAGCTGGGCAGGAAAGAGTCCATTGCAAGAGCGGGAGAAGCAGGGAAGAGTTCACCTGTGAAGAAATGCATGCCCTGAGAGCCGTCAGAGCCACTCACTCTGTGTTGGCTGCAATAAAGATCGTTACCTCTCTAGCCAAGAGACTTCTTTTATGAGGCGCCTTAATCTTAAACGGAATCTTAACTCCTTCTCTCTCTGCCTTTCTAACTGCCCCTCCCTCTTCTCTAGCCCCCATCTCTTCTGGCCTGGGCCCTGAGTCTTGTTCTGGCAGGATTCCCTCGGCCTGAAGGCAAAGGGTAAGGGGTGTGTCCTAGCGTCATCCCACTATTCCAGGATCATGTTTCCTTTGACCTTCAGGGACTTCCGTGGCCCAGAAGCCGCTTGTCATAAACAGACTGGTGGGGCTGCCAGAGCTTCCTTCCTCAAGATAACGATCTCCCCTGCCTCAGTGCTTCCCTGGCTGTCCACACTGGCAGTCTGCCCAGGCCTGAGGGGTTGAGAGGTAGAAATGCCCTCTCCCTGCCTGCTAGGCTGAAGATGCCATCTTGGTAAGTAGGGCTTCAAAAGTTTTGGCTTTTTACTGACTGAATCCTGACACCCGTCCCCATTGCCTGCAGCCCTGACCATCACCAGCCCCTTCTGTCTGCCTTTATTTCCGTCTGCACCCCACACCCACCCTCGTTCCTGCCCACACCCCTTGGAGGGGCTGCTCTAGTCATCCCTCTCCTATCCCAGCACCTTTATTCCTAGCCAGAGTCAGATGACTTTGGAGCCAGACAGAGTGGTATGCAAATCCTGGTGCCGGCTTGTTCGTCTCCATGACCTTGAGCTAATTACTGAAACTTTCTGCCGGTCTGTTCCATAAAGCAAAGTGGGAATAATATTACCTACCAAACAGGATTACAGGGCATGTAGACATAACATTTAAGAAGCTCATGACTATAATTCCAGCACTCGGGGAGACTGAGGATCACAAGTTCAAGCCCACCATGGGCAACCTAGTGACTTAATGAGACCCAAAGAAGAAGGACTGGGGATATAGCTCAGTGCAAAAGGCAGTGGTTCATTTCCCAGTAAAAAAAAAGGAGAAGTTGAAATAGAAGAAGCTGTTGCTGCTGCTCTGATCAGCCCCAGATGCTGTCGGCAGTTAGTAGGAGCAGTAGTAGCAATACCTGCCTTTGACAAGTAGCAGACCAAGGCAAACGTCCCACGCATAACTCTGGATGCCTTGTTCTGCCAGAGTAAGGCTCGTGAGTGGGCTAAAGGACAAACCCACAGGGCAAGAGTCCTGCTGTGTTGGCGGGGTGGCGGCGGGGGGTGGGGAGTGGGTGGAGTAAGAGGATGAAGGAAGAAGGGCAAGGAAGGCTGATCAAAGAAAAAAGAAGGCAGAAGTTTAGTTTGTACAGAATGTGAGGCAAGTCAGTTGAGGAGCTGCTAATTGACTGAGTGTAAAAATCACCCTCTCCTGAAACGTTGCTATCAGGACATGGACTTCTAGGATACTGAAATGAACACAGAGTCTTACCCAAAGACATGATTTATTTTATACTTCTGTGGTCAACATACCATATATACATTTGCCTTTCTGTAAATAGATGATGTTTAACCACAGCGCATGGAAAAGGTACTTGGGGACACCTGGGTTTTTTTTTCCCCTGTATTCTTTTTAAAACACTCTTTTTATATTCTTTTTTTCTTCCGAGTCAGGATCTAATGCAGGCCCTGACATGTTGAAGTGCTCTCCCACTGAGCTATGAACCCAACTGCTGTTTGTATTCTTTATTGATGACTTTTTCCTTATGCATATTATGGTTCTGGAGGGAGATGTCTTCTTCACAAAATCTTGAAGTGAATAAAATCACGCCTTTAACGCATCCTCCCAAAATGAAATGAGGAGCTAGGAATGTAGCTCAGCAGCACCTCACCTGCCTGGCAAGCGCAAGGTCCTGAGCTCAATCCCTGGTACCAAGGAAAAAAAAAAATTAAATGAATTTCCAAATAGGACATTTCTTGAAAGATTCGTTACCTAAATTATACTAACTGAATTGTTCTGAACTGGGCTTGGATAGAGCACTTGGCTACCTGCAGAAGGCTGTGGGTTGGATCCCCAGCACCACAAAATTTTTTAAAAAGCTCCAAAGTAATCAATGAGTGGTAACACAGGCTGAGAGAGAACAGCCTCGGGGAAAACAGATGTCAGGGAGTCTGAGAAGCTGGAAATGCTCTGTTGTTGGTGTAAATATGTTTACTGTGTGAAAACTCGAACTGTACACTTAGGATTCGTGTATTTTACTGAATGTTGTACCTCAATTTTAAAAAATCCTCCAAAATAAGGGAGGGCAAGGGGAAAAAATGAGAACCAAGACCTGTCATGTAAAGGTACAAAAGCCCAGTGATGAATGTAACTGTACTGTATACCTAAAATGTACCAATGAACTCAATTTAAAAAATCCTCCAAAATATGAGTACTTAAGGATGATCTTATTTACATGATAAATGCTAATACATCAATTGTAAAAACAGTATTATACAATTAAATAACAGATACAATTATAGTATAATATATATAGTTTTGCCTTGTACTATTTGTTAAATGAAATAATGCTGTATTATTTATTAAATTGTTATAAATATTTTGAGCTAAAAAATGAGGTTCTCCCTAAAGTTATGTAGCTAACACAGTTTTCTTATTATTTATATTATTTGTCAACTAATTTTCCTATATTTTAATTATGTGATAAATTTTAATTAATAATTTTGTATGTACTAGTACAAGCTTTTACAGCCACTCATTTAGAATAATAAATATGCATTGTATTTTCACTGGCTGGTAGAATTTCAACATTTTAGAATTCATAAGGAACATTTTATTCCTCACTATGTCTAGAATGCTCAACAATATTTGAAAGTAAAAAAAAATATTTGAAAGTGACTACACCCTTTGATACTAACAATGAATCCAACTGACCTGCCTTTTTCTCACTACTAATACTTTAACTCATTCAATTGGACAGGCACTCATTTCTACCATTTAACTGCTTCAACTTTGCGTCTTGGTTGTCTCAAGGGAGGAATTTAAATGATAGTCTGGGGATTGAACGGAAGCACCCATGTGAATACAATATCATTGAGAACCAGCTCCGAAGTAAAACAAAGCTGCCTTTGATTCTGGTGCGGTGCTACCTGGACAGAGCGGAAACTCAGGAATCAGACAGAACTGACTCTCAATCACTGCACTGCTTTGTACTCTGCTCAACTTCCTCACATGGGCGTTTTTTCCTGGCCCGTAAAATCACTGTAAATATTTCCAACTCATTAGGCTGCTATAAGAAGGGTGAAGACAAACTGATCAACAAATAGGTTGGTGGATAGACACCTGCTGCCTAGCTCTGCGTCAAGAGCCTGGGAGACCACAGTAGAACGCAGTGACACTCAGTCTACATATGGTGGCACAAGCAGTCAGTGCCACACTGGCTCATCCGCCAGGCAGTGTCTACATGGTGACTCCTACCCAGGAAATACCCTTAACAGGACAGAGCGGCAAGGAGAGGTAACACTAACTTTGGAGACAGATGGGCCTAATTTTGAAGCCAGCTCCTGCCACTTACTAACTCTGTGATCTTAACCTCCCTGAGCTTCAGTTTCCTTTCTAAAAATTGAGTTTTGCTGGGCATCGTGGTGAATGCCTGTAAATCCAGCACTTGGGAGGCTGAGGCAAGAGAATCACTGGAAGTCTGAGGCCAGCCTCAACTACATATTGAGTTCAAGATCAGTCTGAACTGCGTAGTGAGACCCTGTCTCAAAAAACTAAGACAAAATTTTAAAATACAAAATGATATAATAGGGCTAGGGATTGAGCTCAGTGGTTCCACTGCCTGTCTCACAAGCACAAGGACCTGAGTTTGATCCCCAGTACCAAAAAAAAAAAAAAA